GCATTCCACATAGAGAAAGCCTGAATATGATTGATCAATTGGCATTCCACTTAGATAAAGCCTGAATAGGGCTGATCAATTGGCATTCCACTTAGAGAAAGCCTGAATAGGATTGATCAATTGGCATTCCACATAGAGAAAGCCTGAATAGGGTTGATCAATTGGCATTCCACTTAGAGAAAGCCTGAATAGGGCTGATCAATTGGCATTCCACTTAGAGAAAGCCTGAATAGGATTGATCAATTGGCATTCCACTTAGAGAAAGCCTGAATAGGATTGATCAATTGGAATTCCACTTAGAGAAAGCCTTAATAGGGTTGATTAATTGGAATTCCACACTTAGAGAAAGCCTGAATAGAGTTGATAAATTGGCATTCCACATATAGAAAGCCTGAATAGGATTGATCAATTGACATTCCACATAGAGAAAGCCTGAATAGGATTGATCAATTGGCATTCCACATAGAGAAAGCCTGAATAGGGTTGATCAATTGGCATTCCACTTAGAGAAAGCCTGAATAGGGCTGATCAATTGGCATTCCACTTAGAGAAAGCCTGAATAGGATTGATCAATTGGCATTCCACTTAGAGAAAGCCTAAATAGGGTTTATCAATTGGCATTCTACTTTAAGGAGACCCAGTGTTTACCGAGAGGAGGCCCAGACCGTCCAGTGGTCAAGAGGAACCAGGAGAATTCTCCCGCCTGTACTTCGGTTCAAAATATATGACCCCGGACTTTAATTAAAGGGGGAACATGTTGTATATAGTATAATCTGTGTAAATATAAAGATCCGGCAACACTGTTAGTATAATCAATTGAGAAATAATAAATATGTAATTCATCTAGCGTGGTACTGTATTGTATATATATATAATACAGTCTCTATATATAGACTGTAACTATATTATAAATATATTGAAATTATACCGCGAATGTTTCTTTTATAAAAATCGAAATTTATTTTCAAAGAGAAATAGCGACATTTCTAACTTAGTTAACTTAGTTTCTAAGTTAGAAATGTCGCTATTTCTCTTTGAAAATAAATTTAGATTTTTATAAAAGAAACATTCGCGGTATAATTTCAATTTTCGTTTTACAATCATCAGCCGCGTTATATTGTATTATAAATATATGTTTAAATAAAGCTAAAGGTTAGATAGAAACAGTATAACATATATAACAGTTATAAATATTTGTCAGGTCAGGCAACTCAACTAAACGGCTACATATCGAGATGGTTAAACCCTGGGATGCGTGCAGTGGAGCGGGCCAAGACCAGAGCCCCCGAAGAGTGCGAGGCTCGCCCTGAAGCCACCGTGTTCTACCGGGCGCCCATCGTGAAGCCGCTGACCATGGCGATCGTCACAGCGTCGCCCGACCTAGCCGCGGTGGGGTCGCCGGTCAAGCTGTCTATGAGAGCCGGTGGTCCTGCGGCGGAGTTCACGCTGGACTTCGGGGACGGCAACACAGCGGCCACCAGCGAGAGCTCCTGGAAGCACACCTACCGCCGCCCTGGGACCTTCCGTGTGTGGACCTTCGCCACGCCGCCCGGGGCACCCAACGTGAGTGTCTCTGCTGCAATTGATGGCCCTAACATATTGATTGGGATTCAGATATATACGTATTCTGTTTGTATTACACACAATTTAATCGGTACTATGGCAATCCGAAGACTTAGAAATACAATTGTATCTGATTATCGAGATTGATACAGAAAGAAATCTTTCAACCCAGACAATTCTATTGATAAGACTGTGCCTACTTTTGGAGCCGTTTTCGATTGCAGAAAGGGAGGCCGCGATGGATGGTGGTCGGCGAGGAGTATTAAGTCAATTTCTTGGTATCGCCATATTGGATCTAAAGGAATTCTCTTTTCCTAACATAAATTGGCTCACACACGCACAACTCGCATCATCTGGCTAACACTTTAATGCGATGCCTCATGTGTAATTGGGATACCGTTGATTGTATGTCTCACATACGTTTAAGTTAATATACCTATACGATAGATGGGTGTGACGTTGAATTATATATCTACAAGACATGATGAAGAGACTTGATGTCTCATAAAAAAACATCGAGTGAAGTTGCCGTCAATTACGAGCGTCAATGAATACCTACTCGATGGCGTCGAACTAAATGTCGTCGCTCGATGTCGTCACAAACTGTAAGTTCTCTATCTGCGTATTGCAATAAACATGGCACCTCAGACCCTGCGTGTGCGGTTCATGAATATATAGCGAAGTAAAATGTGAATCATCCTTTTGTTAAAATGGATTCTTAAATCTTCACATTCTATCGATCGATCAGTACATTTTCCACAATATCAACTCTAATTTGTTTTAAAATAATAATAAATTGCTAGAGAAAGAATATTCAGCGATATTACGGCATAGACTAGCAATACGTAGCTCTTATAAAAGATAGTCCATATTGCTGAATATCAACTCTGTCAATTTATTGACGTCACTATTTTAAAGAGGTTCTCGAATGTCTGGTGAGAAAAGACTTCAGGTCCATTCTGAGGTCGACACAAACATACAAAGACATCAACTGAAGGATATACCTGCCGTCGATTAGATCTCACGTGTGCTCTTGATTATCGCATGCTGTTGGCGGAGCGCGACGAGGAAAGGCGACAAGCCGCTAATTAGAGCGTGGACCCGTCCGAGGCGCTAAGGGCCTCGCGCGGCGGGCGTTAAGTGATTCTCGGAGCACCCGCGCTGATGGCCTCCCGCACGCAACACGCCGTCACACCTCGCGTCGCCTCGGTCACGGCCCGCCTCTTCTTCGCACTCTTCATTGGTTTCTTTCTTGTTGCGCTTGTAACTTGACATCCTCCCTTTCTCCGGGGTTGGGAAAAAAGTTAGAGACGGTTAGTACTTCCCTTGACGAGAGAGGAATGGTCTTTACACCCAGTGTATTCTTCTTACTACACGCTGCTGGTTGTAAGCGGTGCATCTACTAAAATCAAGATCGCTGTTGAGAATGATAATATTTATTATGAGGATATTCAAAATCATTATTAATCATCCAAAAACTTTTTTCGCTCTATAGAGTCATAATCCCCCTTAATCTCTATATTATATTCAAATAATAGAAACCAAAAAAATAAGAAAAGTATTATTTAAATCCAGAAAATAAGATATCTGAGTAGTTGTGGTGCGTATAACAGACTTACTGATGTCTGATGGTTCCTTAAAGTTCGAGACTCAATGTCGCGGACCTTATTTTAAATAATTATTTCTGATCGGAGGCTTTAACTTGACCCTTGAAGAACCTGTAAAACAAGATAAATCAACGTTACAAAACAATGGACCATTATCTCTCCTACTTGTAATAATCCTATACCTAACTGGGGAAAGGGAGACACCCAATATTCCTACAAGCAATAGAAGAGCTGGTTCTAGAAGAGCTGGGCTGCTTCAATAGATCCTAGCAGTTTTAACAGAGTATTCCCGACATACCACCAACTCAGCAGCAGCCACTACGTGGTCAGCGAAATTTTTCTGAAAAATAAGCGCGTTCATCTTTTACAAATATTATTTTTTTTATAAAAAAGTCAAAATTTCAAAATATGTGTATACGTCTCTCAATTATACATACATATATGCCTTTATCTACAACTATACACCTTGTATATACAAGGAGAAACGTAGAAAATTGATTAAAAGAAGGTAAAAAATGAAAAAAATATTATATTTTATAATATAACTTTCTGAAAAGGACACTTAGTGGCAGAGCCGAAGTGTCCTTTAGGGAGTAATGTCCTCTTACCGAATAGTTTCTGAATAGCAAAAATAGAAATTTGGCGATGAAAACTGTCTTTTGTAAATTTATATTCTCTAGCGAGAGAATTCCCTTTGGTCCTAGAGGCTTCCTGAGAAATCGAGAAAGGCGTATTTAAGGCCAAATTTGCATAACTACGCTGTTCATGTGAAAAATTAAGAAAGAAATAAAAAATGATCAGGTATTAATATTAAAAACTAAAAAATCATATTTTGACCGCTCACATGAGCATTTTAGATGGCAAATTTTTGGTCGTAGAGGTACAGCCTGCACCAAGCTGACGAGGGACCCGAAACACGTACGTAGTTGACTTTTCTTGATTTATCAAGAAAAAGAGTGACTAAATATCAGGGAACAAGTTAAATCAACGTTTAGTTTATTTCTGTTCCACTAGATGGCGCTCTGCCATCTAAAATGTTCAAGTGAGCAGTCAGGATATGCTTTTTTGTTTTTAGTATATATATTTATTGTGTGTTGTGAAATTTCAGATCGTTTGATGTTTTATTCTTGAAACACAACACAGTGAGAACATATTTAAGACTATATATCATTAATATATGAGGTTATATACCATAGGTTGTGTGGGTGCGCGTATATTCCTTATTTCTATGTATTTATTATATTATTTTCATATACCTTCGCTATTTCTCTAGATTATAATTAAAGCGTTTGAATAAATCAATTGAAAGAGAAATATCTGGTTAATTTTTATTTTGAACAATTGTGATACGAAATGTGCTGCTAATCGCCTTCGAAATAAGCCTAAATCATTTCTGCACCTAAAGGGCAAGTATGAAAACAATATATTTACATACCCAGCCATCTGAGTGGGTAGATAAGGGTGTCTATAGGTATATTCTGTGTTGAATTTTGTACACGGTAGCGACGCATTTTCGCAACATGTGGCTGTGAACTACAAGTAGGGTTTAAATTCTCTGTTTTCTTCTACAATTGAGATTGATAATAGCTCTTATAAATAAAAGCTAATACACAAATTATTATTTTTTTATTTCTCCTTCCACCTAAATGAATGCTTTATCAAAATAATAAAACTTGAAAGCGATATCTTTATTTAAGTAAATAAAACTTGCTGTAGCTCCCCCTCCCCCAGAGTTCAGCTCATTTTTTATCATTCAAAGATATATTGTATACTTAAGTTTTAAAAAATATTCTGTAATTTTAGTTTCTTTTAGAAAACGCTGCATTTTTTAGAAAAGAGAAGCCCCGGTGTCCCCAAGAGGTCACCCTCCCAAGTACTGACCAGATATGACGTTGTTTAATTTCGGTGATCGGACGATGTCTGATGTTTTCAACATGCAACAAATACCAGAACTTTGAAGACCAGGCCAACCATTCATGAAACTCTGAACTAGTTAAAAAAATATCCGCCGAGCACATTCCTGTCGTGCAGTATGGCCTGCTGTGATATACATACACTCATGGACAAAACTTATGGAAGTTGTACCTTTTAGCATTTAAATCAGGAGTAGTACAATAACCCCCTTTTTTTTTTTTTTTTGCTTATCCCTAGTACACGTTGTACAGGCCACGATAATCATGGTGGGTAGAGGTAGGCGGCTGCTTTTACTGTAAGTGCACCACATGTCTACACATGTGAAAAGCAGTTCGACTTTGCACTTAAAAATGTGCGAGAGCCCCGTTTGGTTACTTGCACTCGCTGGTAGGGTTAGACTTTTGCAAGAATCGGGGGCCATTGAAGCTTTTTTTTATCATAAAAAAGTGCCCAATGCGGTATTCGAACCCGGGTCGTAGCGGTCGAAAAACAATGGCTTAGAGCATCCTTCCACCGACCCCCTGACAATAACTCTGAAATATATTACAGTGACCTTTGTTGAAGACACACGATATACTGTTATATCATACAGTACAAAGTATGAACAAAATTGCCTCTGTCTCCTTCAAAAATGTATATAGACGACTAGCAACATCAGACTTTCTACTATCTTAAGTTTATTTAAGAGAGTGTAACTAAACCAAGAGTGGAGGTAAACCTAAATGTGGGAGCAGTGGTTCGGGCGGGGCGCGGAGACGACGGTGACGGTGGTGGCGGCCCCTGCAGCCGGGGAACTGGAGTGTCCCTTCGTGGTGCGGCCCGGGCAGCTGGCGGCCTGCAGCCTGGAGGTACAGGCAGGGCAGGGGGCCACCCTGGAGGCACGCTGGGGTGACCGCACGGCCCCGTACCTCGCCTCGTTGCTGGGTGAGTTCAGGCGGGACTTTCTACACTTCTTGGGTTCAAAGATTTGAATTGTTTGTTCCTTATAAATATTGGACGAAAAAAGTAAATATAAACAATATGTATGGGAGAAACCTATTTTACTATCCCTGGGGCCTGTTTTCAGTAGAACACTAAGAAATAGAAACTATCTATATACTTTTGTAAAATACTCTAAATTGATATTTCTCTCTTCTTCACTACAATTATCACTTAAATACAAGGATATAGAGAGTGCGTCATCTTTATGAAATAATATAATTCCCCGCTATCCTTTTTGCGAAGAAAAAATGTTGGGAGGGCCTGGCTTATCAGCGGTAAACCCTCCCAGCGGTTTCACCATTTCAACCTACCATACCGCTATAATATTGTATTGGTTAGTCTGCTAGTGCCTGGTATATAAGCATAACAGCCTAATGCAATAGTAGATAGCGGTTAAACCGCAGGGAGGGTTCCCCATTGATGAGCCAGGCCATAATTTTGCCATCCATAAAGAACAGTATATACGAAATTATTTTATTTTGTAAAAAAAAAAAATTGCCCTAGAAAATAGTTTACATTTTCGTATTATGATCTATGTTTATCATTTGTTTATTTCAGTTTTCCGTTATTTCCTTTACCTAGTTAAAAGTTTATTTATTTATATTGTGTGTGAGAAAAACAACATACCTTGTGTCTTAAGAAATTTAAAAAAACTTGATAAACATTAAATATATATATTTTAAATCTCTGAATTAATTACATTTTAGAGATCACAACATTCTTCACGCAAAACATAAGGTGGTCCCAAAAGTTCGTGTTTTTCTTAAAACATTGTTTTTATTATTACTTGGCGAATAATATTATTACGGCGAATACATAATAATACATAACACAATTACTTTATACCAGGTTTTCTCCTGTAGAAGGGCGTCCGTGCCCGAAAGCTAGATAATAATAAAAATGTTTTGAAAAGACACTTTTCCCTGGAGGCATGATTAATTTTACTCATAATTACTTTTTACATAATACAAAGACAGCATACATAACGGCGGAAAATATTGGTATTTCAATTTTTTTGCAAGTGTTTATGTTTAGTGTTTATGAACTTTTGGGACAACTTATTATCTATCTATCTATATTTTGGCCATAAAAAATTTCCTAGCCTCTTTCTGCCATCTGAACACCTCTTTGGCAAATTCTGAGGACTTCATGAGTCCCTGTGGACCACATGTGTGAAGCCAGCCCTGGACTGACGAGGGCCATTATGCTGAAACCATGATATCCAGTTCTGGGGTAGCCGAAGCTGTAGTTGTAGCTTTGCCACAGACCGGGTCGGGTAGTTTGCAGAGACGGTCATTAGATGGCGCTTTGTTTAAACGTCTAGTTTGACGGTAGACTATATTATTTCGATAGTTCAATATCCTCTCCCAGAAAAGTTTCTATTTATTTATATTTGTTTTCAAATGTTTTATAATTTACATAAATATTTGTCATTCTCTTTTAAGTAACAAGTTGTGGCTCTTCTTCAATAGATCATAGCAATAGGCAAATTGGATATAATTCCAGGATTTCAACAGTTTGAGATTTGGTTCAGAAATATATCTATATGTCTCTCTTTATGGAAACAAAGATAATTCTTATTTTAAATTACTTAGTATATTAGAGCGCCTGTCTTTTTTTAATATAATTTATATTGGCATCACATATATGTCATAATTTGTATATAATTGTATGCACCCCCGACCCACTATGCATGTACAATGTATGATTTTCAAATATTTAATAAAGAAAAAGGTAACTGGAGGATAGGAAGTAGGCTTAAAGCGGGCACAATTATAAATAACTTGTACAGTCAATACTTCCTGACCGAGGCCGGACGTATCTGGTAACCACAGAAGTTATAAAAGTTGAGAGACGCCCAATACTTCCTGACAGGACCGGACGTATCTGGTAACCACGGAAGTTATCAGAGTCGAACCAACACCCAATACTTCCTGACAAGATCGGGCGTGTCTTCCACCAAAGAAAGCCGCAGGACCAATTAGAAGAAAGCAACGCCTAAATAGGTCAACCAATAGCCAACGGTCATGTGACATCTCTCGACCAATGGGAAAGAAGACAACTCGTGGTGTTAAATCGAGAAGCAAGAATTGTCAGTAACGTTTTCGCTCCCATAGAAACAACACCTAAAGTTATGCTTTCGCTCCCATAGGAACAACACCTACAGTTGCTCCTTCGCCCCCAACGAGGTGACATCGGCTCTGGACCTCTCTCCCTCTGCTCATCCCGTAGCTAAGTACAATCACCACCATGTGATCAGATAATTAACAATCAAAACCCGCTCCGCTCTTCTCAAGCTTTCTTTCCTCCAACCCAGTTGCCTTTTATTTTCAAACCCCATCACGTGTCCTGATTATTCCTAACTGTATGCTTCACTTGCCACTCAACGACTGCGTTTCAACCAATCCTCACCATTCAAATCGAACAACAAGAAATTCCGCAACGATATTGTCACAGAACGGTTAAGTCGACAGGATTCTACAACAGTGTAATACATCAAATATTGCAGTGTAATAACTTTGGATATATTACATATACATTATAAATGAAAAAATATTATCTATTTTTACATTAATGTGATTGAAATTGGCACATTTTAACGAGAAGTTTTCTACCATTTACTTTTCCCCTGTAACAAATCTCATCTTGCCATATTTAGTCCTTTTCTTCTACAAACAACTTATTAATATATGTGAAAAAAATGGGTATTTGGCCAATTCTGGAATAATTAAAAATCAACGAATAGTTGATATTTATTCCGATAGATGGTGCAAGCCATCAGCAACTTTCAGTTACCCGATAAGGAGATGCCATTTTTCTTTTTTCAATTTATTACTATATACCCGGTCCATCTTATCTTCTATAAATATGGCCCCAGACTACTTCTGTATTTATTTTTTTATTAAAAATTACAAATAGGCCTCCATTTCGTTTGTTGTCAAATATCTCCTGTAGTATCTTTCTTTTATCTTTTAAGAGAGTGCATATTTACACCGTTCAAAGGTTATAAGTATTACTATGGGAATACGAGTATTTTGAACAGAAAAACTTTTTTGAAAACTTCGGAATAAAAAAAAATTGCATAGGCAATAGTTGTTGTGATAAATTAGATTGTACGCGCTAAATATATGTCGAAACTAGACGAATGACCCGGCTTCGCCCGAGAATTCCCCCGAGTGCAATTTCCTTCATATTGAAAGTACATCAATAATAAATAATAGAAGTGCCATAGAAGAGCAATACAGAAGTAACACATTAACCACAGGCAAAAAAATGTGTGCTGTGCAAAATTTGTATTATATTAGTGTTTAGGTATTTGATTTACACAGTAATTACTTTTTGTAATCCATTTAGTTGTTTCATAATAAATATAGTTTAAATAGATGGCAGCTTTTCCACCCAACCCCCGAGGTACCCGCCCCAGCGCATTAACCCTTGAAATTGCCTGAATTGAGTGAGTGACTTCGATGCCCATCTTCTCAGTAAGAATAAGAAAAAATAGGTTTATAAAAAATTTAATCCAAAATATACTGGCATGTAAATATTTTTCTGTAAAAAATAAAAGAGCACATGGAAATTAGGCAAACATATGTGTTTGCTAATGACTGCGACTGCATTTTAAACGATTTTTTTAAGAGATTAAAAAAACAAAGGCCAAAACAAAAATTAACAAAAAAAATACTAAAGTCATTATTTACATGCAGTAACGCTAATTTTGTAAAGGTTTTCTAAAATTGCATTGTCTGCACTTACCGTAACTTAGTAATATAAATTTCTCTCTCAATGCTCAATACTTTTGTAAAAAAAAAAAAAATAACACTCGTATAAAAACATATTTCAAAAAAAGTACGCAAGCAACTTGAAAAAAAAAATGCAGAACGCTCATTGGTCGCTTAATTGCCCTGGTGTTGTTACTTCGCCTCGTATTCATTCCGCGTAAAAAAAAAGTTCTTCAAATGAAAAAAAAAAATAGCCAAAAATACTGATCAAAATGTAGCCGAAAATTTTCCTCAGGTTTATAAAAAGTGACATGCAAAATTTGGTACCAATTG